TTTCAGTAGACCGAGGAACCTCCACACAGCTTTCTATGGTGGCTAGACTAGTCTGCATCCCACCAGTAATGCAGGAGAGTTCGGGGGGTGGAGGGGAAACACAAAGAATTTCCTTTTTAAATTGTACTTTTTTTTTAAATTGAGGTAATGGGTAATGCTGGTTTGCAACACTGTGTAGGATTTCGGGGTCTAGGTGCACCCCTCTTCAGCTTATGTGACCATACCACCCCCACCCCCAAGGCCCTCATCGCCTCTCCTCCTACCGAGTTCTCTTGGGCCCCCTCCCCACTGTGCTTCTTGTACCCCCCTGTGGCGGGGTGGTTAGAAAGACCTAGTTATTCTCCCTAAGGGAATAGGGTTCAGAGTAGAAACTTAGCCAGTTGGGTTTCTGGTTCTTGAGACTTCGTGGCTCCTGGGTAGGCACTGCTTTAAGTAAATTAATGAATGCATGATAAATAAGTGTGCATGTAAATGCAGACCAAGAAAGTCACACATGGATAACTGATGAGAAGTGTGTAATGAAACATGTATCATCATAAGATCCCGTTTAACACCGAGGCCCACGATGGCACACAGGGAGCGCTGGTGCCCCCTCTGGAGCATGTAGGGCACATGGCGGCCAGGCAGGCTGCATCTGGGCAGATGCACATGCAGGCTGCCCAGATGCATATGTTGACATTGAGGTTGGGGGAAGTTTCTGGTTGTTGTTTTAATTAATAAGCGGAGTGGGGGCAATGGACTGTGTAGAGATCACTGATTTGGTGGTAGGTGGGGGCTGCTAATGTACATCTGAAGAGGCGTGAACCTATAATCCTGAATCATGCAGAGTGTTGTGAATCCATATTAACTCAACAAATATAATTTAATTACAAAGAACCCGACACAGAGAGGAGGAACAGTGTTTACGTAAATCATCACATAACTGTCTAATTGGAAGGAAGCGAGCGCGAGGTGGTGTTGAGAGTGTGCTGTGCGACACCAGTGGTGATTAATCTAATTGTTCACGGAGTTTTATTTTAAAAACTAACATAAAGCAGTAGTCAGGGTTTTCTGTGGATAATGAGCATGTGGGCTGTTATGTGGTCTGTAGAATGCCTGGTAATTACACATTGTCTTAAGTTATTGTGTAAATATGATCATACCTGAAGCAATTACTTTAAAGCAGACAAATTGTGGGCAATAAAGACGTGTGCTGTGACTGGCCCCGCTCTACCTATTAGGAGTGTGTGCAGAGAATAGAATCTACCACCTTCCTGCTTAGCTCAGGTGTGCAGAGCTACACAGATAATACTGGTGTTTCATGCAATGGTACTTCAGTTGGAGAACTTATTATATACTTATATATTTAATTTTGTATTTAAAATATATCACAGTGTATAATGTGTTAGTTTTATTTTGTGTATTTTATATATTTATTATATATGCAATACATACTTTTAGAAACATAGATGAGCCAATTGTTCTATCAGTAATTTAAAAAAAATGAAAGAAGTTTTAAAGACATAAAGTAAGATAAAGCTAGGATTATTGGGGAGAATGTGCCATATTAGATTTTAAATCAGTTTAGTCCTGCACAAGTAGATTTCTGGAAAAACAGTTATTGGGCTGTTAAATGAGAGTGTGCGCACACAGCCACGCACCTTCTTCTTGAGTTTGGAGCTGGATTCAGTGATCTTTGCTGAATTTGCTGAAAATTAAAAATAAACCGATAAATAAAAGTAGTGTGTTTCTACACTAGTAACGAGAATTTGCTGTGATCCAGCTTCATGATTGATCTGGCAGTGCACAGCTCATGTCCATTCAAAACCTGCTAACACAGGCTGTTCAGAATGGACTTTTTATTTAGAGCATGAACATAACGCGGCCAACTTGGTTGCCCCTAATGGTGAAGCCCTGGTTGCGCCTCTGCGGGCGGGAGCCCGGATGCCCGGAGAACTATTCTCAGGCTGTTGTTCTCAGTGTAGGGAGTTTGCTTAGGGACCTCTAGGGAATTATTTTAAAAAATTGGCTAGATATGTGAACTAGCTCAGAGAATAGAATAGCACGCATAACCAAGCATGGGAACATGGCATAACCCAAGATTTGTTATAAGCCAAATCATTTCAGGGCCTCCTAATGTCCCATATAGTCCACTTCCAGAGCACCTGTAGACGCCCCTTCCCTACACAGGTGAGGCTGCCCACTTGTAGAGGGTATAGAACCAGGGAAGGTAGAAGTTATGAGCGTCCCAGTCATGAGGGAGGGTGGTGATCCACCCTACCCAGCTGACCCTCCTCACGATACGGACAAACCAAGAGACAGCAAAACCCTTCGCAGGGATACTGCGTGGCTTGACCTCTGCTATGGATTGATCGGTTTGTGCTGCTCAGAGGAGCATTGAAAACAAGCCTCTGGCTAATTGTTCTGCAGAGCAAGTGCAGACAGACTTGTTTAGTGTCAATCATTCAAATCTTGTTCTTGGCCTTTGGGGCGGATGGCTATTGATTGCCCTGTCATTTATGCATGTAGAATGATGCAAGACAAGGATATGAATGAGGAAGACAAAAGGCCCTGAGTCAGGATCCCGGCGTGTCTGATTTAAGGAGATTGATTAAAATCTTTAACTCTGAGTTGGTGATTCAATCTAGCTGTTCCTCTCCAGTAACGGCGCTCATGGCACTGAGGGGATGTTCAGATCTTGTTTCAGGGATTTGTGTTCCTTGGGTGTGGATTTTTATTTTTATTTTTTAAAGATTTATTTATTTATTTATACAAGCACTGGGTACAGTCAGAAGCGCGGGAGGGTGAAAGAATTCACCAGAAGCAGAGCGGGGAACAGAACAGGCAGACTGACGAAATACACTGTTGAGGGGAGCAGCAGGCATGGCAGGAGAGGTCTGCGCCATGTGGGACCCTCACCGGCAGCCAGGTATCGAACTGGCGCTGCAGAGGCTGTGCGCAGCTTCGCAGCCCAGCGCCCAACTGCTGCGCCACCATGGGAGGCCCCGGGTGTGGATTTTTAATTTGTAAATGAAATAATGCATGAACATAAAGAAATCAAGTTTGACTCTTTCAGTAGGAAGCTGAGAGACACTATGCCCAAGATTGACTATTCTATTGGGGTTTGATGGGGGGGGGGTCACTGCTTGTTCACTTTATTAATAAAAAGGCAAAGTGTTTGCATAAATAAATAATAAATACTAATTAGCTAAGGTTAATTGTGGGCCAATGATGGGAAGGTGTCCCAGGATAATAGTTATGATTCATTTAAGACAGTTATTGCTAATGTATGATACATGATAGTATACTCCAAGTTCTTGTCCAGTGAGTTATAATGATAATAGTGACATATTGTAATTAGGAAACATTCTAAATGAATGAATAGATCATTCATTTAAAAGATGCAAACGCCATACCAGTGAGGAAGCTTGTTATGAAATCAAGTTCATGATTGTCTCGTTTTACTCAAATGATACCCATATTTTTAGAAAGTCTAGGTCTTTCTCATTTTGTACAATGTTTGAATAGACATATGCACAGTATAACATTTTGATTCTGGGTTGTTGCTTATTTTACCATTTTGTTTTTTTTTAATATAATGGACAACTGTGAACTTATTCCATGAATAACTGCATGAGTGAATGGAGGAGTGAATTCCTAGAGTCAAGCATGGGTCATTCTTAGGCATATGCCCTGATACATGGATTTAAGTTGATCTCATCTGTGTAAGAAAGTTCCACCAGAGAGGACCATCTTGATGTTGCCCATGTAAAGTAGACATATTTATAGCAGTCATAGTTCTTACTTAGAGATTAAGTGATAGATTCAAGACTATGCTTAAATTAAAATTAAATAGTTTAGTAAATAAAAAGTGGTGATATTCTTGGGCCAGTGAAATGAAGCAAAGTTTATGTCTCCTCTAGAACCCTACAATTAGTATCCTTTAGACATACCGTAATTTATTATTCTTGGCTATTTTTTAAAGCCTGATTTTTACCTCGCCTCAGAAATTAACATATCATAGCTGATTTAATAATATCTGATAATGTAGATTTTTGACTGGTAACTCTGCTTAATAAGTGTAAAGACTGAGGAGTCAAAGTTTAAGTTCTTAGTTAAGGAAATGTGTTCATGGGTGTTCACAGAACTATTTCAGAGTAATAATTAGCTGCATAAAATTATACAATTATAAAATGCCCTATATTATACTACTAATGATGACAATAGGTCCTGAGCCATAGGTAATGATAATTAATTTAATTGTACACAACTGATGATTCCTACAAAAAGATGGAAGGTGTTTTATACATTGTCAGAGATGTTTGTTATTTCTCTTTCCTATTTATATGACGTTGGTTTCAACATTTCTTCCCTCAAAAGGTCTTTCATTGATATTGACATATTGTTATAAGAGAGTGTAGGAATAAGTCTATATGTAGATTGATTATTTAAAATAAGTACAACCTAGGGCCAAGGAAGAACACGTGTTATGAACCAAAGATAATCATCACTCCTTCTTATACCCAAATGTTGTCCAGATAAAGAAATAGGACTCCCAGTTCCTCCTGCTTTGGGTCAGGTACACATAGGAATTTCCATGGAAAAGTTCTTTAGAAAAATGGGTAGATAATTTATCTCATGCTGAATTATATATGTGAATAAAGTAAATGAATCGTTAGAGATATAAATCAGAAAAATTCATGCATAGTTGGTGAAAATATGCCATAAAACAAAGATCTACATTTATCCAATTTTGCACAAGTGAGGTCCATTAAAAGCAATCACTGAGCTGTTAAATTTATGAAGAGGGCATGTGTAGGCAGATATTTATGATAGATAATGGTATTATCTTGGGTTGATGCTCATTACATTATTTAAAATAAAAATTAAGTAAGTCAATAAATAAGAAATGCCATTCTTGGGCAATGATGAGATTATGAAATGACCTGAGCTTGTTATTAATACTGCAAGACTGATTTCCATTAAAAAATGTCTAACTCTGGCTCTCTGTCTTTCTTTAGAAAGTCTGCATTTTACTTCACCAAGTGAATGTATCACAGCTGATTTAATCATTTTCTAATGCAAAAGATCATGACTTTTGTACACTCTGGGTAAGGAGAGGAGAGATTGATGTAAGTAATAGTTACAGTTTATGTTCTTGGGTTGGGAGGTTGGTTTGTGGCTGTTATTTGAGTTTATCAAAGTAATAGATGGATACTAGATACTAGATATTAATATCGTAATAAATAAAACCAATAACACCAGTACAGAATTGGAGTTGGGATTTATGATTAATCTGATTCAGTGCTACTAAATAATCTACTAAAATGGTGCAAAGTGGTGGTGTATTCATTTTCAAATTATATTTTATTTTTCATTGTAATTCATTTAAGTGTATTAAGTGCATTGACAAAGATTTGGGCTAGTAATTCCTTGTGAGAGGGGCATGCAGGAAGGAAGATGGGCAGTATTGTTGTTCTAATTGTGGAGTAAGATGATGGGTCCTTGGTATTCACTGCTCCATCTTCAAAAATGTCCAAGCATGGACCTTTTTGATATGAAACAAAGATCTTTATATGAAACAAGGATCATTATTAATTTGCATATGCAAAAGCATATATCTATATTTATATATAATACAGATGGCAAAAAAACAGCCTTGTCTATTAGTAATGTGGGAAATGGGCTATCGATAGCGACGATTAGTATTCAAGGATGCTCTTGGGATTTTTGATTTTTGAATAGTATCTAGTAGCTATTCATGGATGGTATTATTGTTAGTGAATCAATAAATAAGGGAATAAGCAATGTATACATAAAGGAATAAAAAGATGGCTAGTATGAACCAGTGGTGATTAATCTAAGGGGCAGGAATCAAAGATATGTATTAACTTCTGTAACTCGGAGGTCCATTAAGAAAAGGAAATCTAGTTGTTTCTCTGTGGGGGAGGGTATCACAGCAGAGGAGTCAAACATCTGTCTCTGAATAGTCTGCAGATTTGCTCTAAAACCTTTGAGGGGCACTGTAATACGAAGGCCACTGTGAGTGGTGACCCAGTATGTGTCTCTCCAGCGATAAAATGACTCTTATTGGTTATGTTATCTCCCAAAGACTGAGTTTCATGACATAAATAGGTCAAGTCTTTTTGACTGTTTTCCATACCAGATCTACCCAGTTCCCTACAAGTGTGTGTTGTGCCTTTGCGTCGGTGTTGGGTGGCTGGTTGTTGGTCTTATGTAGAAAAGGAACAAATCCTTTACTTGAATGATAATTGTTCAAACCTTGCCTGATGTAAGGAAGGCCAAGCATGGAGTAATGTTGAGAATATGGCAGTAGGTAAGATGAAACCTGTGCTTTCAAGTGACTGCTTTTTTTTAATGAAGGACTCTCTAAATGAGCTGACAGGCAGGTGCTAGTGTTAGTAGTTTTGTCGATGACTTCAGTCAGTGCTTTCCTTCACTCCAGTGTGCTGTCAAAAGTGAATGAAGGAATTCATATTTCAATAATTTTAAGACAGCCAATCGTTAAAAACTGGGTCAGTGCAAAGCAGGTATCTTGATACAAAGATGGTGACTGTGCCGGTTTTATAGATGAAGGAAAGCGGATATGGGCTTAGCCTATTGGAGCCAGCAGTTGCATAAAATGGTACTTCAATTCTGAATGATGTGTGGATGTTACTTTTTCCTCAAAAGATGAATTGATGACTAAATTATTCTTTTTGTAATTAAGAGAAAAACATGAATGAGTGAAATAAATGCATGATTTATGCCCCATGGCGCATTCAGCAATGCTGGAATATGGGCTCTTAAAAAAGATGAATGGTGCTGGAGCTCTGTGGTCAGGGAGCGTAGGGGTGGGCAGTAGAACTAGTTTCATTTATCACTCTTGTGTTCGGTGATGGATTTAACAGCGCTCACGACATTGATTAAAAATTAAGTAGTAAAGGGCCTCCCTGGTGGCGCAAGGGGTTAAGCACTGCACTATGAAGTAATCTGCAGCTTCTGCAGCCTCTGCAGCACCAGTTCGATCCCCGGCCGGCCAGGGAGCAACACACGTGATGCAGCAGACCTCTCCTGACTCGCCCGCTGCTCCCCTCAGCAGTGTATTTCCGTCAATCTGCCTGTTCTGTTCCCCACTCTGTCTCTGGTGAATCCTCTCACCCCCCACATCTCTGGCCTGTACCCCGGCTCTTCTATGCATAAATAAATCTTTAAATAAAAAAAAATTAAGTAGTAAATAAGTCAATACATAAAGTATAGCGTTAGTCTCGAGTCAATGGTTATTGGGATGTGATAGGAACCAAGATTTAGGATTAATCTAGCATCTCACAACTCCAGTTCATTAAGAAAAGACAAGTGGATCCTTTCTTTACAAAATGTGCATTTTACGTCACAGAATGAAAACAATATAGCTGATTTCATTATTCAATAGTGATAAAATTTTAGTTTTTACCTTTGTGGGTGAGGGCCCTCAATATTGTGGAGGTCAATAGTCAGAATTCATCTTTAGTTTAGGTGGTTTGTTCATCACAAAATTATGTCACAGGAATAAATGACTAATTGTTTAAATAAAATCAAAGGATGTTATGCAGGGACCGGCAATTAAAATTGCTTTTTATTTTTTTTAAGTATTTATTTTTATTTATTTATGCATACAAGAACTGGGGTACAGGGCCTCCCCTGGTGGTACAGTGGTTGAGTGCTGGGCTGCTAAGCTGCCCCCAGCCTCTGCAGCACCGGTTTGATCCCTGGCCACTGGCGAGGGTCCCACATGGCACGCAGACCTCTCCTGCCATGCTTCTGCTCCCCTCAGCAGTGTATTTCATCAGTCTGCCTGTTCTGCTCCCTGTTCTGGCTCTGGTGAATTCTCTCATCCTCCCGTGCTTCTGGCTGTACCCAGTGCTTGTATAAATAAATAAAAAAAACTTAAAAAAAAAAGAACTGGGGTACAGGCCAGAGGTGTGGTGGGTAAGAGGACTCACCAGAGACAGAGTGGGGAGCAGAACAGGCAGACTGACTGAAATAAACTGCCGAGGGGAGCAGCAGGGAGACAGGAGATTTTATATACTTGAAAAATACACTTTTCAGGGCCTCCCCTGGTGGTGCAGCGGTTGAGCGCTGGACTGCGAGGCTGCCCACAGCCTTGGCAGCGCTGGTTCGTTCCCCAGCTGCCGGCGAGGGTCCCACAAAAAAAAAATACACTTTTCATTTAATCTAATTCAGTGTATTGGATTAATTTTAGGTCTATTAAAAGTGCTGGAGGGCTTTTATTCATTTTTAGAGTATATTCAATATTTTATTTTGTATCATGATTAATTTAACATTCCTTCCATGATTGAGGCCTAAGCCATTAACTCTTTTTTTTTAATATTTATTTATTTACTTATACAAGCACTGGGTACAGTCAGAAGCGCGGGAGGGTGAGAGAATTCACCAGAGCGAGAGCGGGGAGCAGAGCAGGCAGAAGGACCGAAGTACACTGCTGAGGGGAGCAGCGGGTGGCAGGAGAGGTCTGCACGCCATGTGGGACCCTCGCCTGTGGCCAGGGATTGAACCGGCGCTGCAGAGGCTGGGGGCAGCTTCGCAGCCCATCGCTCAACCACTGCGCCACCAGGGGAGGCCCTAAGCCATTAACTCTTGGAGGGGGTTGCGGACCAGAAGAAGGAAGAGACGGTCCATGTCCTCACTGTGAGACTTGATGGCTGTTCACTATACTGTATTAGCTATCTAGTGCTGTGTACAAATTACTCTACAAAGTAGTGATTTAAAACAGCCATTAACATTTGTTATCTGTCACAATTTCTCTGGGCCAGGGGTGCAGCAGAACCTTAGTGGCCAGCTTAGGTGTTGGTTGTAGCCAGACTAGCTGATGAAGTTGTGTCATCTGGAAGCCTGGCTGTCGCTGGAGGGTGTGCATATGCAGCTCCATCCCATGACTGGGAAGTCGGTGTTGAATGTTGTCCCCTCCTGTGTGAGCTTCTCCTCAGGACTGCTTGAGTGTCCTTACAACATGGTGGCTGACTTCTCCCAGAGCACACATTTCAAGAGAGAAAAAGGGGGAATCTCAATATCCTATAGCCTAGATTCAGAAATCATCCATGTTGTCACTTCCATGGTGTTTCTGGCCAGGTCTGCTGCATGGGAGAGCCTGAAAGGCTGTACGTACCAGGAGTCACAAATCATTGTAACCAGCTTGGAGGTACTGTGTGTTATCTTTGAGACATGGACAGGTTAGTTACATACATGGACAAAGTACAAATATGGAATTGATATGAAGCTAGAAAGTTGATCATCTATGTATAATGCCAAGTTTCATTCTAAATAAGTATGTACTCTCTCAGTTGAATGGAGCTACTAAGTGAGTCAATAAGCAAAGATGTGAGCCTCCCCTGGTGGCGCAGGCAGTTGAGTGCTGAGCTGCGAAGCTGCCCACAGCTTCTGCAGTGCTTGTTCGATCCCCGGCCGCTGGGCGAGGGTACCACATGGCGTGCAGACCTCTCCTGCTGCGCCTGCTGCTCCCCTAAGCAGTGTGTTTCATCAGTCTGCCTGTTCTGTTCCCCGCTCTGGCTCTGGTGAATTCTCTCACCCCCCTGCACTTCTGACTGTACCCAGTGCTTGTATAAATAAATAAATAAATAAATCTTTAAAAAAAATAAGCAAAGATGTGGTCGAATGAATGAAAGTGCCAAGTCTGGACCAATGATGAGTGTTCTGGGGTCTCTGAATCAATGGTTTTGATTAAACCCTGTGACTCTGAGGTCAGAGGGCTAGTTAATGCCATGCTACCACTAGTGCCCTACTCAGTGGTAAGTTCATTCACTAATGGAAAATGAACTTACAATAGAAGTTAATAATATCAGTATTTTGTTGTTAAGCCATTGAGGTGCATAGGTGTAAATTCAGTTACTCTAAATGAATTAACGAATGAATAAATAAATAAGTAAAGACAAGGAAAGCTGTATGTGGCCTAATTATGATCCAGTGGAATGTCTTTACTATTATTAATACATTTCTGAAGCACTCAGTTCTAACATAATTTGATTCAGTCTGATACCAATTTGGGTAAGGAGCATGTGGAGATAAGTACCTAGAAATCAATGTTACTCCTCTGCGCTGAAAACAAATCTGATCT